ATAGAAAATGACTGTAATATTCCAGTGAGAGATGATAGTATTTTAGACTTGATGACAGTAAAGCAAATGGTATTTGCTGATAAACTTAATATGGAGTAAGAGAAAATGGGGAAAATAAAGAATGGATCTTAGACTGTGCAAGTAAGATTGCTATTAACTGAAATGAGAAAAGTTGCAAATAGAACAGGCATTGTGGAGGACAGATAGGGACATAAGTAGCTCTGTTGTGTTCATGTAAATTTAGTCATATCTTTTAGATATCTAAGTGGACATGCAAAAAAGGCCACTCTGTATAGAAGTCTAGAAGCAAAGATAGTTCTGGAGCAAAGATAAAAATTTTAATTATCGGCATAGATGAGATTTCAAGCTACTGTACTAGGAAGATCACCAAGGGCATGAACATAGTGGGAAAAATGGTCAAGGGAAAAAGCTCTGGCATATACAAGGTACTTCCTACAACTGGGTCAGGTTCTCTCCTCTGCATTCCTATACCTGACAAGAATCACATGCATATACAGTGCTCCAGGATTCCTAGTCATAAATCTGATGATATCATGTGGTTAGTGTTAGCTTCATCTTTTTCACCAGGGTAGGAGTTTCTAAGTCGATAGATTCATCTTTTAGAGTACATGTATGTATACTTATGAAGTGGTCCAGAACAGGATAGTATTACTTTAGATTGTGACAGAGGAATGCTTCCCAATCTTCTATACATCCTGGCATGCACATACAAATGGTAATACTCATTACTCACACTGGAGCAAATATAGCTACTTATGACTTTCAAAAGGTCATAAGGCACTTCAAAAGTTTGAGGGATTGATATCTTGGTATATCTGATCAAAACTAACCAATTATTCCCTTGCCTTCTCTCTACCACTTTCAGGTAAGTTGCTGGTAGCCTGGACTGAGGTGGGGCTGCCCCTCCAGGATGTGTCTGTGGCCGCCTGCAATTTCTGTCACCGTCCTGTGCACTTCGAGCTCATGAGTGAGTGGGAACGTTCCTATTTTGGGAACATGGGGCCCCAATATGTTACCACTTATGCCTAAGAAGCCAGCTACTTTGGATGCTTACCCCATATGCACTTCACTTGGGACTGGGCTTTCTCTTGTCTTCTGCTTTGTTGTGTACCTCTAGCTGGCTTGAGTCTGAAAATAAAAAGCAAATTGCAGCATTCTCACCTTGTATTGGACAGAAAACAAACACACTATATTGGACATCCTCAATCAAGTGCCAGACCCATGAGAAAAACCAGAGATCACTTGTTCGCATCACCCCATCTTACCAACAGGGTAATGTGGAAAGACAGAAAGAATGGACAAAAACTACATGATACCAAAAAGAGACAAAACATTTGGGAGATTTGAAATTATTTTTCCAAGTTTCAACAAAAATTCAGGGCTCATTTTTTGTATTTTTGTGTTTCTACTTGCTCACAGTACATTATTGTCACAGGAAACTTGTACATGTACATGACTATTCTTTTTTGTCTCCTAACTCTCCACTCTGTCCCTGATCCTTCCATCTCTTGGTCCCCTTCACACCTGAAACAGGGTAGGAGTTTCTAAGTCAATAGATTCATATTTTAGACTACATGTACATATACTTATGAAGTGGAAGATAGTATTACTTCAGAATGTGACAGAGGAATGCTTCCCAATCTTCTATACATCCTGGCATGCACATACAAATGGTAATATTCATTACTCACACTGGAGCAAATATAGCTGCTTATAACCTTAAGGCACTTCCTACTTATTATTTTTCTGTATTTTAGGGGTCTACAGGGTGCTCAGGGTCTCACTGCTAGATCGGACTCACAGTGTTTCTCCTGTTTACAGCCTCCCAAGTGCTGGGATTACAGGTGCACACCATCAAGCCCAGCCTCAATTGCTGTCTCAGTGCAGCCCAGGGGCAGAGCCAGCATGGCAGGCCTGGGGATTGAACCCCTGGCCCCTGCACCTGCTTACAGACACTTTAATCTGCTTAGCTATTTGCTCAGCCTTGTTATTAATTTTTATTCTGCTCTTTTAAAAAAATATTTTGGGTTTTTCATATAAGAGAAACCATGCAATATTTTAAGCTTGTGTTTGATTTCACTTAACACTGTAGTCTCAAGGTACATCCATTTATGTATGAATATCTTGAGTTCATCTTTCCTTATGATATAGTAGTCCCTTACATATAAACATATTTTCATCTATTAATTTGCTGATGGGCATATAGGTCATTTTTTATGATTTAGCTATTACAACCTGAGCTATCTATAAGCATAAGCATGCATGTATCACTGTAATGTGATGGAGGCATACTTAGAAGGGGATTAGGTGAGTCAAATAAATTTGCTGGTTTTGATTTTATTTTTTTTTTAATTTTATTTATGTGTGTGCGCATGTGTGCGTGCGTGCGTGCGTGTGTGTGTGTGTGGCCAGCTCAGCCCACCAGGGGGCGGGGCTGGCTGGCCTATGGTGCTGGGGGATCGAACCACGGTCCCTGTGCTTTGCCAAGTTTGTTCCAAGTAGGTGCTTTAGACCGCTGAGCCATCTCACCAGCCCCTGGTTTTGATTTTATGAGAACTCTCCATATTAATTTCCATAGTGCTTCTACAAGTTTATATTCCCACCAGCAGTGTACGTTTCCTTCTTTTCCACAACCTTTTCAACTTATTTTTTTCTTTCTCCTTTTTTTTTTTCAGAACCAGGGAATGAACTCAGACCCTTGTGCTTGCCAGGGAAGCCCTTATTCTACTGAGCCATCTCCCTGGCCCTGTTATTTAATTTCTTGATAGCCATTCTTTCTTAAGATAAAATCTGAGTTGCTTTAATTTCCATTTTTCTTGGGGCCAGGTATGTTGCAATTTTTTTCATGTATTTATTGGCCATTTGCACATCTTTTGAGAAGTGCCCATTCATTTCAATTATCCATTTTTTGGCTGAGCCTTTTATTGGGGAGTAAAGGCAAGTGTCTAATTGCTTTTTTTTTGTACTTTAGGGAAGGGGCTACAGGGTGTTCAGGGTCTCACTACTAGATGGGACTTGTAGTGACCCATCTGTTTACAGCCTCCCAAGAGCAGGGATCACAGGTGCACACCACCATGTCCAGTCTCAATTGCTGTATCAGTGTGCCCCGTGAGCTGGGCTGGGCTGGCAAGGCAGGCCTGTGTATCAAACCCCCGGCCCCTTTTTCTGCTTGCAGGCACTTTAATCTACTGAGCTATTTAGCCAGCCCAGAAAGTATCTTTCTCAATTGTTTGTTCTTTCTTTCATATCATAGTACTTACCAGTTCTATTTCTAAGGTGATACAAGAAGCTTGGTTATAGCAAGCAATATCTTCAAAGTAATCTTCCCAATAGGGAATTAATGACAATACCTGTTGAGGAGGCAATCTTCCCTGAGATTTGTTGTATCTCAAGCCAAGTTTTGCAACTCTGAGACCTCAGACTGTTCCTTTTAATTCTGTAACCCATGTGTGGCAGCTGGGGGATAGGACACACTAGTTGGACAGTGAATGTTTAGGCTACACAGTCCACCATCCTTTTTACTATACCACACTATTCCAGCAGTCTCAGTGAGAAAAGCACCTGTGAGAGTGAAGATGTAGGAACAACAACAAAAAAAGAGCTTTTATTGTGAGCTGGAGACTGACATCCTGACTTTGGGTCAGAACTCCCAAATTATCAGCCTCCACATTTGGACTCTACTTCCAGGTTATATACTTTGTAGGTTTCTATACTAAGTAATCATATTACCTTATTTTCATGAATTTAACAAGAATGTCACACAATGGCCACAAGGTTTACATTTTTCAGACACTTCTGACCATCTGCTTTTCACGGGGCACTGTTCTAAACGTTTACCATATTCAAGTTGTTCTATTCCTATTTTATGACTCTTTTCTGAGTGGGTTTATGTCTAGATACCTGGGAGGGTGTGAGGGAATGACTTTACCTATAGCTTAAGTGAACTTAAGTAATGCTACCTTAAAATGGAGTTAAAAAGAAGTGGCGGGATCTCCCATGGTTCCGCCCGGCTCGGGTCCTTCCGCCACAGCAACCATTGAAAAAGAGTAGCCATGGCCCTCCGCTATCCCATGGCCGTGGGCCTCAACAAGGGCCACAAGGTGACTAAGAATGTGAGCAAACCGAGGCACAGCCGCCGCCGCGGACGTCTCACCAAACACATCAAGTTCGTACGGGACATGATCCGGGAGGTGTGCGGCTTCGCCCCCTACAAGCGGCGCGCCATGGAGCTGCTCAAGGTCTCCAAGGACAAGCGCGCCCTCAAGTTCATCAAGAAAAGGGTGGGGACGCACATCCGCGCCAAGAGGAAGCGTGAGGAGCTGAGCAACGTGCTGGCCGCCATGAGGAAGGCAGCTGCCAAGAAGGACTGAGCCCCTCTGGAATAAAGCTTTGCAGAAAAAAAAAAAAAAGAATAAGTGGCATCTCTTTTGCTCCATCAGTGCCCATATCTACCTCTATTATTGATCCAAGCTCAGGATTTCCAGGAACTTCTACAACCCAGCATGACCACTATCTTTTCAACTCCCCTCTCCATAGGTATTGCATCATTGGGATATAGCTGGCAAACCCTGTATTGAGACAGCTTCTGATTCTGTAACTATATAGAACATATCCAAAACATATATTCAACGTGACACTCAGTAAAAAAGACACTTTATTTATGATTATTTCCCAATAAGGACAGATGGGTTTAAAATGGCAACTACTTCAAACACCTGGTTCCCATGTACTTCTAATAGGAAGGTGGAAAAGTGGGGTACAAGACTGGGTCAGGGGCCAGGGTGATAGCTCAATAGAATAAGTGCTTGCCTGGCAAGCGCAAAGTCCTGAGTTCAATCCCTGGTACTGCAAAAAAAAAAAAGACTGGATCAGAACATCAAGGCAAAAGCAGCTCACCACTAAAGGAAACTTAAGAGGAAAGAGGTAGAGGGGTTTCAGAGGAGGCTAAGAAGTTATACTAGGAAAGACAGAAGCTTTTCGAGAGGAAGAAAAGCAAGAGAAAGAAGAAAATGAAGAAAGGAGAAAAGGAAACTTTGGGAGACAAGGTAGCATTAGCAACTTAGAAGGAAGAGAGTTGGGATCAGGTTCTATGCAGGGGACAGAACATCCCTAAGCCTCAGTTCAATCAGCTGGGCCTACTCCATTGGAAGAAGTTGCAGCGGGTGGAGGGGTCACTGCGAGGACCCTGAGGCCTGGCACACATGTAAAAGTGGCGACCAAGGTTGGGTCCTGCCTTCTTCACAGTACGCATCACACATGGCTCCCTGTGGCCTCTACAAAGAGGCACGGAGAAAGGCCCTCGTAACACAGACTTCCAGAATGAGACCAGTACCTCCTTTTCCTCTTTGGCTCCTGAAGCACTGATCTCTCCTTCTACCACTTTGGCTATTGCCTCTTCTTCTGGAGTCTTTGTGGCCATGACAGTTTCCACCAGATGCAGAGTAGGCAGCTTCGAGGCAGAAGTTTGGGAATGGCTGGAAGAGGGCTGGAAGTAGCTTGTCATGTTTTTCTGACCTCTTCTGGAGCTAGCCTGACTTGGCTGCAATCTGGTTAACCGAACACAGAATTTGTTTTGCCGTTTCTGTACCAGAGTTTGACTGCTGAGTTGTAAAGCTGACTGGTCCAATATAGGTTTGTGTTCAAGGGGAACTAGGAAACGAAGAATCTTTAGCTGAGTGCCTGCAAATTCAGGAAAGAAGAGAGTACACAAGGGTGGGCAGTATTTTGCAGGCACAGAGGACACATTCAAAACGGCACCCACAGGACAGTGGTCAGAGCCCATAACCTCAGGGAGCAGGAAAGAGGCCTGTAAGGTATCCATGACCAGGGTCTTGTCCCCTAGCACATAGTCAAGTCGGGAGCCATAGTTGTGATGGCGGGCACCACTGACCACTGACCAGCAAGTAAAAGCCCCTTCTTGCTGTGGTTGAAAATAGCGGTAGGTATCAATGAAGGGCCCCACGTGGGACCCAGCTGGGCACCCTATGTTATTAAGCAAGCCATCCATCCACTTGCGCCCGGGGTCCTCTTCAAAGTACTCCTGGGGAAAGGGATATGGGAGTGAAGAGAAAATTAGTTAAAACTAGATGTCTAGGACTGAAAAAGAGACTATCTGCTTCATTTTACAAACAAGGAACTTTGTTTCAGTCACCTAGGCTAGAACTGGCAGAGACAGAATTTGATTTCTAACTTTACTGATTTAAAAGCCTGTTCTGTCCTTATGCACTAGATGTCTAGGACTGAAAAAGAGACTATCTGCTTCATTTTACAAACAAGGAACTTTGTTTCAGTCACCTAGGCTAGAACTGGCAGAGACAGAATTTGATTTCTAATTTTACTGATTTAAAAGCCTGTTCTATCCTTATGCTTCCTGTATACCATACTGTTTTTACTTTGCATTGTATTTGTTCTTACATGCCAAATTATAATGGTCAATAGTCGCTTAAGCAAAGCAATTTCCAGAATTGTTTCTCAAAAGAATGGAAAATAGGAAAAATAACTGTCTCTAGAGTGGTAAGGTAGGAATAGGAGTTAGGAAGAACATTTTCTCCTTAAACCTTTTGATGCTATTTGGTTTATCATGTGTCAAAACTCCCATAACCACACCTCCTTCCCATGATCACGGGTTTGCAGAAACACATGTCTGAATACTTCCTTTGGCTAATTCCTGTTCTATCCATTCATCTGTCCAACCCATCTAACACCCATTCAATCAATACAACAATTATTTTACACTAGACATGATGTTAGGGACAAAACAGATCTAGCTGTGGGGAGGAATTGACCTAGAATCAAGTTGTGAAGGCCAAGCAGAAGTAACCTAGGTAGAAGGTAGATAGCTTTAAACTATAAGAACAGCCTCCGTGATAGGCTTGCACAGGTCACAGAAGTCTTCTGTTTTGACTGCTGTGGTACGAGAGCAGAGGAAAAACAGGTAGTTTGTTAATCTGACACAGAAATCTTCTATATGACAGAAGTCAAGATGAGAAGTAGTTTATACATTCTAGAATAAGGGTTCTGAATCCTGTTTGCAAAATTAACCCTGGAGACTTTCAAGATTATCACTAGACCCTGGACCCCCAACCATGAGATTCTGATTTCTGCTCTTACAGTGGTAATTAATATTTTTTTCTAATATGTAATCAAGGCTTAAAAACAGCTGATCTAGAGGAAAAAAGATTCATTAAAGAAAAAAAAAATAGGAGAGGTTAGTCACCAATTTGAAGCACAGTGAAAAAACTCAACATAAAAACATGTTTTGCCATGGGCATAGGAGACATCTGTCTGGAGGATGGCATGTGCAGGGACACTGAAAATGAAATGAGATCTGAGATCAAATTTTTTTTTTGTTATGGAACCGGGGATTGAACTCAGGCCCTTGCGCTTGCCCGGCAAGCACTTATTCTACTGAGCTAACTCCCCAGCCCGAAAATGAAATGAAAGCAAGGAATAAACCAGAAAATACCTTGAATGTCTAGTCTTGAAGTTTTCTCTTTATTATAGAGATAAGAAGGTGATGTTGAAGTTCACGAGTGGAAAATACAGTGTATTAGAGAAATAACCATGGCAATATGGATTCAAGGCCCTCAGAATTTAGCCCCCAATGGAGCCTCCATCCCCACCTTCTGCCACTCACCTCCTTTTCCATGTCTCTAATACAAATGAGACTTGAAGTTCCCTATGCACACCAGGCAACTTCCCAACTTAAAACCTTTGTGTGTGCTGTAACATTTAACTCCCCCTACCCAAGGCTGTTTGGTTATAAGTTCAGACATTCTCAACTGCCTTCCCTGATATCCAGGCTTACAAGTAATCCTATCACTGGACTTCCTTAGTGCTTTGTACTGCCATATCTGCCTCAGTTCAGAAAATATCATTTTGCAATTCTCTGGCCATCTGTTTGTAGCCTACACTGAGACTTCCAAGAGCCAATATGACTCATAATTGAGTTCTTAACACATAACTTCAGGGCCAAGACAAGGATAGGATCAGCAATGTCTGTCAAATGAAGGATCAATCCTCAATACTTGTAGAATAGTATTTCAGTGGGACTATATGAAATGAAAAAAAAAAAAAAACATCTACACAGCGAAGGAAACAATTCAGAGTGAAGGGGTGACCTTCAGAACGGAAAAGTACTTGCTAACCATTCACTTGATAAGGTGTTAATATCTAGAACATATAGTGAACTCAATGCAACAACAAACTATTAAAACAGATAATCTAACTCAAAAATGGGCAAATGATCTGAATAGGTATTTCTCAAAAGACACACAAAAGGCCAAAAATTATGTGAAAAACAAAGAGCAATATCATTAATTACTAGGGAAACATGAATCAAAACTGCAATGAGCTATCATCACACTCCAGTTAGAATTGTTTTTACCAAAAAGACAAAAAATAGCAAATGCTGGGGCTAGGGAGATTGCTCAGTAGAGTAAGTGCTTCCCTGGCAAGTGCAAGGGCCTGAGTTCAATCCCTGGTTCTGCCAAAAAAAAAAAAAAGCAAATGCTGACAATAATACAACAGAAAGAGGAACTCTCAAATAACTGCTGGTGGAAATGTGTATTAGTGTGTCATTTTGGAAAATGGTATGGTGTTTCCTCTAAAAGTTTAAACCCACTTCTAGGAATTTATCCAAAGGAGATGAAAACACTGTATGAGAGACATCTGCACTCCCATAATTATAGCAGCATTATTTACAAAAGCCAAGATACAGAATCAGATGGACAAATTAAATATGGAGAGTATCATGGCAGGCCAGAGGCAGGAACACTAAGAGATTCACGAAGGTCCAGAGTACACACAGGTGTGGAACAAAAACTCAATCAGGGGAAGACAATTTAAAGGAGAAGCCCATCAGATGAAATCCAACAACAGAAGTATTTACAATAAGGAATGCTTCTTGATTTTGATACTGCTTATAGTCTGGGTCCAGAGGACACATCATGTTAGGAAAAGTTTATATATCCCTAAGGGAAGAAGTCCAGGGCAGCAGTTGCAAATAGAAAGCACAGAAGACTGAGACAAATGAACTTGGCAGAGCAAATAGTAGAGCTTATGGCAGAAATTCACCCAGGTATCTGAGGTTTCTACATGTCAGTGGGAGGAAAACATGACTGAACAGCACCCTAAGAACACCAGAGGTTCCTAAACATGGCGCCCTTTCCATGTTTTTGTTCTGTGGGTTTTTTGTATGTGTTTTCTTTTTTCTTGTTTGATTTTTTGAGTGATAAGCTTTGGTATATATGTATGGTTATTACTATGTGTATCAATTTTATTTTGTTGCATATAAAACATTTCATGCAGGTAAGCTATATATACCCACTTCAAAAGTTATTTCTTAGTGCTATCTAGCCTATTTCACTGTTAGTTTAACAGCTGGATATACTCCGTCTCTTCTCTTACTCCCTAGCTACCATCTCATCTTTTCCTTACCTTTGTTATCTTTCCCATTATACCTTCTCCTACTTATGGGTTCCTCTCCCTTATACTTTTTTTTCTTTAACTTTATGTATTTTCCCTTTACTACATTAAGATTAATCTAAATACTATAGCACCATAATATCTCACATTAAGTTGATCCTTAGCAAAAGTTGTTATATACAGTTTATAAAATTGTTATGTCATTAACTAGACTCAATCTCCACATATTCTCATTCACTATGTACCTAAAAAGTTCTTCCCCCAATTCTTTCCTTTCCTCCCCTCTCTCATAAGTACCTTTATCCTCCCAAAACTTAATTTTGCTTTTAAAACCTATTTGAGAGCATAGGTGAGGGGCATGTGTTTATAAGCAACTGTATGCTATATATGATTTTTTTTACAGACAGTATCTTGAACTGACCTTATCAGGTTCTGTCTCCCCAAAGGCTGTTGCTTAGGTTTTCTAACATAGGGTTTCTCCTAATTTGTAAATTGGATGCAATTGCCATAAAGACTGTCATACTTTGTACTTATAAATCTTACCTTTTACTTCTTTCCCTTTGCTCCCTTTTAAACTCCATCTCTCCTCTTCTTTTCAGGCATAAAAATATCAAAAAACACTTTCTCCTTTTTCTTGTTTTAGTTTCTTTCTAGTCTCCCACTATTTTCAATTTTCTTCTTTTATTTACTTTTAAATCCAAAAATTTTTCCTTTGTTCTTCTATTTCACAGTCCTTTCTCTACCACTACTAATTCTTTGTATTCTTGGGTTACTGAAAGAGTATAAAATTGTTAAATAAGTTCTAAATTATCTATTGACTCATAATTGGTTCTGTGAATATTTATGTTACCAGTAGTTGTTCTCTCCTTGCATCTCAGTGCTAGGGACTATTCTTTATGTATTTAATAAATTGAGTATATGACTGTGCACTGAATTACATTCAAAGCCAAAGGCATATCACAGAAAAATATCCATTACTAAAAAGACTTCTACCATAGTGGAAGGCCTTTGTAGCCTGACTGATCTACAACATTCCACATAAAAACACAAGAGAAAACAAGACAATAAAAAACCTCATAAAGGGGCCAGGGAGATGGCTCAGTGGAATAAGTGCTTCCCTGGCAAGCGCAAGGGCCCGAGTTCAATCCCTGGTTCCACCAAAAAATAAAAAAATTAAAAACCTCATAAAACTCATAACTTCATAAAAGTTGATCTCCCAGTTACTGAGTAGAGGAAGAACTAAGAAACCAAATATTTAAAATGTTTTGAAGAGACTACAAATGACTGCTTTAGTGTATGAATGACTGCTTTAGTATAAAGAATTTGAGGTTGTAAAAAGGAATCAAACAAAAATCTTAGGGCCAGGGTGATAGCTCAGTGGAATAAGTGCCTGGCAAGCACAAGGTCCTGAGTTCAATCCCTGGTACCACAAAAAAAAAACAACACCCAAAAACCCCAAAAATCTTAGAAGTGGAAAATACAAATTGAAATTTATGTCAGTAGACAGGATTAATCAAGGTAGAATATTATGACTTGAGGACAAGGAGATCATCATCTTCATGATAGTATAAAAATAACCAGAAATTATAATAGATTGATTTAGGAGGTTCCAGA